CTTTGAAGAAGTCACACAATATCCTGAGAGATCCCACCCATCCTGCTCACAACTTCTTTGAACTGTTGCCTTCGGGCAGAAGATATAGGACAATGAAAACACGAACCACACGCCTTCTGAATAGTTTCTATCCAAGAGCTCTGATTGCACTAAATAATGATCTCAGGGCCAGTTGCAAGGAATAGCAAGCAGGGAGTAGGAAGGAATGAGACAGGTTTTTAGGTTATGTTATGCTTTTAATAGGTTATGTTACATTCTGGAGTATGATATGTTTTTATAGATTATGTCTGAATAGGATGAGAGTGTTGGAGATACGTGCAAATGTGTATGTGAACCCGGTCTTCGAGTGGGTGTTTGATTTTCGTTGTTGTGTATACTGTGTATATACGGACAATGACAATAAAAAAAATTTATCTATCTATTGTTGGTGTTTTGTGATAGATCCAATTTAGATTATATGACGATTGTAACAGGGAGATCTTTGCCCCTTGTTGTCCAATTTATATATTAATATAGCACTCCTAACATTAAATTGTGAACTGTTTAGTTTTTGTATTAAAATGTCAGTGTCCCGGTTTTCCAGGGACAATCCTGGTATTACAAAAGCCATCCCAGCTTCTTATTTGATCCCAGAATGTCCCTATTTCCCCCACCAATGCTGCCATTGTTGAGCTCAAGAAAGATGATGAGCTGCCACTTGTCCCAAGCAGTGTCTGCGAGTGAGTGTCCTGTTGCCTCTCCATGGCTGCTGCTACTGGCCTTCTCCCTTGGGCAGCTCGTAGTGGCTGCTGGAGAGCAGGCAAGGAGGAGGGGAGGCTGCCACCACTGAGGCCCCGTCCCATGTGATGCCCTGGCTCTAGTGTGGTGCCATGAAGCCAGCCTCTTGACACCGGCAGCACTGCAGCTTACCGTATTTTCCAGTGTATAAGAAACCCCTGTGCATAAGACGAGCTTTATTTTTTCAAACCCCAAATTAACAAATCAATATTTTAAATTAGGGTTGCCAAAACCACACATGACATTGTAACTTACAAGCAGATGGAAATCTGTAGCATTTAGGGAGGCATGTGGAATTGCCATCAAAGCTGTTAAGCTATTTTTGTCTGAGCGGGCAAACCACAGCCCCCAATCGCCCCGCCGAATGTGCACTGCAGCCCGCCCAAGCCAAAAGTCTCTGTGTGAGACTACTGTCCGTGTATAAGACGACCCCCCCTTTTTTACTAAAATTAGCAAGGAACATCATCTTATACATGGAAAAATGAGCTACTTCAGTGGTGTGTACGGACAGGAGTGCCTGGTTATTATTTTATGCATTGTGACTTGCCGTTGTTTTATTGATTACAGTTTCAAAATTATTTATTGTAATTGTTAAGAGTGGGTTTCTGTTTAATTTTTATATGCTGATATTATGATTCTATATTATTCTAATGATTGTTGAATGTTACTTTATTTGATTTAGATAGCCTATTTTAAAGCTATGTTTTATTATCACATTGTTGTATTGCATTAGATTGTTATAAGGTGTACAGTGGTACCTCGGGTTAAGAACTTAATTCGTTCTGGAGGTCCGCTCTTAACCTGTTCTTAACCTGAGGTACCACTTTAGCTAATGGGGCCTCCCGCTGCTGCCGTGCTGCTGCTGCGCGATTTCTGTTCTCATCCTGAAGCAAAGTTCTTAACCCGAGGTACTATTTCTGAGTTAGCGGAGTCTGTAACCTGAAGCGCCTGTAACCTGAAGCATCTGTAACCCGAGGTACCACTGTACATTCTTCGTCTCTTCAGCTTGTAAATTGCCTTGAGTATTGTAAGATAGAAAGGCAGTATACAAATTAAAAGTGATGATGAAAAGTGATGATGTATGCCCATGCAGCCCTGACCTCACCACTGCCAGGCCCCGCCAGCATCCAGGTGGAGGCAGACTTGCGAGTCCCGCCCCACCACACAGCAGCTCCTGATTACCTAGGTGAGCCTTTCCCAAACAAGTGTTGTTGGACTATAATTCCTCTCCCTGCTCACCATTGGTTGTGCTGGCTGGAACTAGTGAAAGTTCAATAATATCTAGGAAACCAAGGGTGGGAAAGGTCGACCATGGCGTATATTGCCATGCGACTACCTTCAGACTGATAGAACAAGGAGCAGAAGCTGCTTGGTTTGCATGGCCCATAGTTGCCAAGATCAAGGAATGTAATTTCCCCAGTGGATTGGAAAGAGAATCTTATAATATATGAAGATGGGATAATTAACGTACGAAAAGAACAACACCACACATTCAAAGCTTTCACAACTCCCATCGGATGATTGTCTGACATTTACTATTTATTTTACAGTAACTCAGGAAATTCCATCTACCAGCAGTGGCTTGTTCTGATGAAAGCAACGGAACCCCTTCCTCATTAAAACCCAAACTGTGAAGCTCAGTAGACAAAGAAAAATGGCCCACAACATCAAAGACCTTTGAAGATTAATATTTTGACAAAATTAGGAGATATTCGTGAGGAAACCAATGGCAGATTCCCCCCCCCCATTCTCTAGGCATATTTTTTTTTTTACTTTTAGAACTATGCCTATTTAGAATGGCCAGCTTTATATTTTTGTTGCTGATAATTTCATCCATTTCCCCCTCCCTAAATTCCTGGAAATCAAATGACCCCCCCCCCCCTTTTAATGGAATCTACTGAATGTTAAATCAATTGTTCTGAAGAAATGCTTCTGTGCCCAAATGTCAACTAAGCTGAAGCACTGGGAGGGAAAAGACTATAGAGAAAACTTGCAGCTGTGCTGTATAGAAGGAAGAGACAATTTAATGGAAATTTTCATACTTTGCAGAAATCTGATTGCCTATTTTCTCTATGTAGATTTCTCATTAAAGCAGCTACAGCTGCTGTATGAAAGTTGTATTTTCCCTGCTGATGACTGTGGCACTGGGGCTTGTGCTGTATGGTGAGTTTAATGCTTTGTTTTGATGCCAAACAGTTTCAAAATCAAGGAAAATGATAGCACAAACCCCTATTTATTAAGGAGGAAAGACCTTACCCCTTGAAAGTACTTTCATGGTTAATGAATTTTAAAAATAGGCAGAGTTACAGAACTGGAAGGAACCTCCATGGTGATGAAGTTCAACTCACTGCGGTGTGTAGGGTTCAGTAGTTCCAACAATCTCTGCCGGTTTGTTTATTACATTTAAATAACGGTGCATAGATGCACAAATGTAAATGGAGGAATGGAAATTGCATTTCTGATTGTGGCTCAGTATTCACTGAAAGTGGGAGTCGGGCAGGGGTAGGGTTGGGAATAAAGCCTGAGAATAAGCTATGCAGGCAACATTTGGGGTGTGCGGTTGTTGCTTTGGGGAAATGTTTACTTACTTGGTCCAGGGATCATTCTTGCAAGTTTTGGCAATGGTTTTTTAAATGCTGTTGATTTGTGCTTTTTGCATGTTTGTGGTGATGGGGACTGTTTAATGATTTTTAGGAAGTGTTCTGATAACTGTGGGTTTCTTTGTTTTTTTGTTTTAGCTATCTTGTGCTGTTTTAGCACAAAGGACAGAAGAAAGAAGGCCTTGAGGGATGGGGACTCGCTTGAAAGGAATAAGATGTTGGGTTAAAAGTGTAATTGTGTTTTATGATCTGTTTTTGATTATGTGTGTTCTAATACCGTCAGTAATCATAATATAATAATAATAATTTATTGTTTATATCCCACCCATCTGGCTGGGTTTCCCCAGTCACTCTGGGTGGCTTACAACAAAAGATTAAAAATATAATAAAACATCAAACATTAAAAACTTCTCTAAACAGGGCTGCCTTCAGATGTAACTTTTCTGTTACTTTTCTATGGAGGCGCAGTTTGTTGTACATCTGGGGACAGATGTCTAGTTCTTGGAGGGTTTTTTTGGAGTGGGCAAAAGGAAGGTGAGGTTTGCCTGGTGCTTTCATTAGGTACCAGGCAAAAGCATTCCTCTTTAACCAGGCCTTTGGTTGACTGACATTCAATGCTCTTTTAAAATGTGTTGGGGGGTGTTACTGGGTTGTTCTTGTTTTTATTTTGATTATGTATTTTGTGTTATTATACTGTGATTTTTTCCTGTAAACCGGCCTGAGACCTGCAGGTATAGGGTGGTATATAAATTTAATAAAAAATAAAATTAAACTAGGAAAGCCAGAAAGAGGGGGCTCTGTGCCAGGCATTAGTTTTGAAGACAAAGCAGAGTTTGAAGTAGAGTCTCAGAGTGGAATTGTCTGAAATGCGACCTGGAGAAAAAAGGTTGCAGTTTGGAAAAGGCGGAAAGCTGGAGAGAGGGTCAGAGCACGATGGCTGATATCTATGTTTGCATCCAGGGCTGTAGCTATGGGACATACAAGACCCTCTTAGATTAATTATGCTGTGAACCCCTCAGGTTGTATATATGTGAAAGTAAACCATATATCATAAGACACCACAGTCGCCGCTGTGCCTCACTTCCAAAAGGAAACACGAACTCTGAGTAAGCACACCTGGATCCCCTGGAATCTCTCGCCGCTCAGAGATCAGGGTGGGGTGCAACAATAGTATGGGCAGCCAATTCTTATACATCAATCATCTACTGAAAATACACTATGAGGTATTGTGAAGAAATGTATTGGCAAAAATGGCTATTTGAAATCTCAAAGTTGGGGAGGAATATATATCTTTACTCACAAGCACTGGCTTGGAATAGAAATATAAAGTGAATGCAAAGAAAGCCCAAATGACCACTTCTCTTGTGAAAGTTAACTTTTAGAGGGGGTGCAAGAGCTTTGCACTTATTCAAACCATCGTTTTCTCATTGCAACTCCTCCCAATTTGGGTCTTTCCCATGGGATTCTAGAGTTTTGTTTACCCTTTCACTCACCACTTCTCCAAGCTATATAATCCCACCCTAAAGTTGTTTTTCCCCTTCCAATAGAAGCACTCATTGGGGTTTGTTATACACACCAGCCTGTATCATGTACCAATATTTCAGAAGATAAAGCTAAATATTTCCACAAGCACATTTTATTGCCTGATTTTAGACCCTGAAGTTTTGAGGTGTCTGACTGGGAAAAGCAAATAGGGAACATATTAAAAGCAAAATAAATAAATAAAAAGGAAACATTTTCCTTTTACAGTTTATTGTTCCAGTCAGTATTTTGGCCATTAAGCTTATTTGATGGAACAGTGAGTGGGAGCCCGACTCATGGGAGAGGCAAACAATGTTTTTAAAGCAGTATTTGCAGAAATGTTTTTGCAGTGCTTTCCCAGAGGTAAGGTGAACCTCCCAACTCAAAAAGGGTTTGAAACTGAGAAATGGCACTTGCAGTCCCAGCAGGAATGGATTTTCTCAAGAACTGAGATTTCAGAAAGCATTGAGAACAAATGCTCAAAAGCACTGCAAGGTTAATAAAACTTTGCAGATAATACCTACAATTCTATCTTAATCAAGCCCATATTTCATTTATTTCTTTAGCCCCAAACAGTGGCGTAGCGTGGGGGGTGCAGGGGGGGCCGGCCGCACCAGGCACAACATCTGGGGGGGCGCTCGCACTCGCAGCTCTCTGCCCCTACCTGGCTCACTCACTCTCTCTCACTGCAGTGCTGGCTGTGCGAATCCGATCCGAGCCGCTGGGTCGCCGCCCACTGTGGAGGGGGTGGGTGCCAGGCGTGCGGTGCGGAGAGAGAGAGCGAGGGACTATCTGGGGGAGGGACAGTGCAGCGGCCGCCCAGCGCAGCGCTGAGCGCGGGAGAGAACCACACCAGACCAGACCAGGCAGCAGCAAGAAGAAGCTGGCAGCGGCGGCAGGTTAGGGGTTAGGGGGCGCAAATTACTTGCCTTGCCCCGGGTTAGGGGGCGCAAATTACTTGCCTTGCCCCGGGTGCTGACAACCCACGCTACGCCGCTGGCCCCAAAGAATCAAATTCTACTTTTGACTAAGTATGCTGAACTAATTCTGCACTCAGCGATCTGCAGTTTCATGTGATTTGAAAACTCCTGAATTTTCCTTTCAACAACTGGGTTTGATTTTGCTGTATGTCCCACCCATCATCTGCCCAAATGAGAGGGGAATCTTTCAAGGTTGGGAATCTCCATGCATAGAAGTGGCTAGCTGCAATGCTAGCTTCCTGAAAGTGTTATTGCTGCTGCTTACCAGGAGGTGGGTGGGAAGGAGCAAGGTGGCAGGCAAGTCAGGGCTGTGTAGGTGCACTGGTAAAGCCCATCTGGTGCTTCCTCCAGTGCGCCCTGACCTCCCCACCACCTCATCCCTTCCTTTATCACTCCCAGTCGGTGGCAGCAACTCTCCTACCAGGAAGCGTGCCATGTGGCTCTGCCCTGCCAGGCAAACCACTTCTATCTATTGTATCCTTTTCAAAACATCAACCAGTGCAAAATGCTGCAGCCAGATTACAAACAGGTACTAGGCAATTTGATTCCCTCACACATTTTTCAACACATTGGTTTCAGACTCAATTCAAGGTGTTGGTGTTAACCTTTAAAGCTCTCACCAGCTTGGAACCTGGATGCCTTCAAGACCACTTTCTTCAACATATTCCTCCTCACATGCTTTGAAGGCTTTCAACACTGTAAATCGTAATGCCCTGTGGACTGTCCTTCTGAAAATTGGGTAAACATCATTCGGTTCCTCCATGATAATATGACAGCAACAATCGCAGATAACAATGGCTCTCAAAGTGAACCATTCACAGTGGGATCAGGAGTTAGACAGGGTTGTGTTATTGCCCCAACTCTATTCATTATTTTCATTGCCATGATCCTACACTTTGTCGAAGGGAAACTCCCCACCGGAGTAGAAATCATATTTTGAACAGATGGAAAGCTCTTCAATCTGAGCAGGCTGAAAGCAAAGTGTAAGGTTACCGTAACTTCCATCATAGAGCTTCAGTATGCTGATGACAATGTAGTGTGCACACACTCAGAGGATTACCTCCAAACCATCCTAAATATCTTTGCAGAAGCTTACGAAAAGCTTGGCCTATCACTCAACATCCAAAAAACCAAAGTGCTGTACCAAAAAGTACAAAATAACCCGTCTGCAGCACCACAAATCCAACTCAATGGTGTAAAGTTGGAAAATGTTGATCACTTCTCCTTCCTAGGCAGTTATTTTTCCACAAGGGCCAACACTGATGCCGAAATCCAGCATTGCCTGAGCTCTGTGAGTGCAGCTTTCTCCTGATTGAAGTGCAGAGTGTTTGAGGACCGGGACATTCACAGGGAAACCAAAATGCTTGTTCACAAAGCTATTGTACTACCAACCTTACTGTATGCTTGTGAAACATGGACCACGTATAAAAGCCATCTCCAACTCCTCGAAAGATTCCATCAACAGTGTCTCCAAAAAATTTTACACATCGCTTGGGAAGACAGGCAAACTAATATCAGTGCACTGGAAGAAGCAAAGATCTCCAATGTTGAAGCAATGGTTCTTCAACATCAACTTTGTTGGACTGGGCATGTTGTGCAGATGCCTGATTATCGTCTTCCAAAGCAACTACTCTATTAAAAATGGAAAGCGTAATGCTGGTGGTCAACAAAAGAGGTTTAAAGACTCTCTCAAGGCAAATCTTTAAAAATGTAGTATAAACACTGACAGTTGGGAAACACTGGCCTGTGAGCGCTCCAGTTGGAGAACAGCCTTTACCAAAGGTGTCATGGGCTTTGAAGACACTCAAACTCAGGACGCAAGGGAGAAACGTGCTAAGAGGAAGGCACGCTTGGCAAATCCACACCATAATCAACTCCCACCCAGGAACCAATGTCCCCACTGTGGAAGGATGTGTGGATTCAGAATTGGCCTCCACAGTCACTTATGGACTTATTGTTAAAACCATGTTTATGGAAGACAATCTTACTCAGCTATGAGTGATCGCCAAAGAAGAAGAGAATCTCTGCTCCAGATCCCTTGACCTTGTGATGTGAGCTTGAAGTCAGCCAGAATTAGCACTTTCTCTGCTGTGGCAGCCACCCTGTAGAATGCCTTGCTAAGTGAAGTGTAAGTCAGTTTCCTCCTCCTTAGTCTTAGTATTGTGCTTGAAGATCTCAGCAGAGGATGGGGGCAAAAGTATGACTAGGATGCTCTGCCTTTCATTTGCTCTGGCTCCACCTACTGTTGGTCTCCGAGCCTTCCACCCTACCAATTCCATTATTATACTGCTCTGGGTGGTTGGTGAAAACGAGGCTTCTTAAAAGGGCCTTCGGCTAATTAGTTTCTTCACCAGCATAGTTCTGTGTTTCTTCCATGATTTTTTTTGGAATTGTTCAATTTGTTTTAGTTTTATGTTAATGTCTCGACTGCGTGGCTGGGTTTAATTTGAGGATAGTGGTTTGCTTTCATAGTATTCTGCTTCTGATTTGTTAGCTGTCTTGCTTTTAGGAAGATTCAGTAGGATGGACATTTTTACAATAAATAAAACCTCCACAACAGGCTACTGAATCAAAGCGACCGAGTTGTGCAGGGACGTATCCAATTCATACTTCAGTTAATAAGAAAATGAAAACCTTTTTTTAAAAAAACTCATTATAATTCTACACACAGCAAAAAGCAATATTGGTGTCAATGAGAGCAGTTACACTGGCCAAGCCTGTTATCTTTGAAATGAAGGAGCATGAAAACCTAAAGTGTTTATTTTCCATCTTAACCACAAGGAATTCTCTATTAATGCATAGTTTGAAAGGCTGCTCCTTTTAAACTCGCATGTAAGGCAGGATTGCTCTGGTTCCCAAAACGTGAGTAGATAATAGCTTTTCTTTGTCTGGAGAAACTAGTGATTGGCAAAGAATCAGAGAAAAATAAGGTAATAGAAAACTCAATATTATGTGTAACACAAAGTTTTGGTAACTGTAACTTTTCATCTGTGCCCAGAACTGTATGTATATAATTTTCAACTTGGTAACTTTAAGTTATAATTATGTAAACTGTTTCTAAAATGGAAGGTTTAATTGAATTTGGAAATCCCTTCCTTACCAGCAATGTTCAATGTATTCTAGATATCCATGGCTTCATTGTACAGGCATGGAGAATTTCTCATCCTAAGAATCCCTCCTTTTGCCTTTTAAGTACGGTAACCACCTCAGGTTTATTAATAATTTGCTTCTGAAACACCTGAAAACATGTTGGGACGTTTCCCACAAAGGCTTAAAAATGGGAAGGGAAAAGCTGGGAAGTGCTTCTGTTGTCAGAGGGCAGGATAAAAAATGCTCTCCATTTCCTCGTCAATTGTGTATTTGAATTGTTCTGTGCATTGTTCTTAGTTTATTTTACATATTGCTTAGTTATTTTACATATTTCTTGTATGGCTGTTGTCCAGAATAGTTGGATTTTGGGGCACTCCCACCACATGTGAAGGTATGTGCCTATGGAGGTGCACCCTCTCCAGCATTTTGGTGAGGGTCCTGGGCGTATCCTGGGCGTATTAGCGCTAGTTTTCTTGGTGTTAGGTACCACCTGTAGGTGAGTTTCAGAGTGAGTTCTTTTCTTTTCGCTGATATGGATTTAAAGGGGGGTTTAGACCACATTCTGGACCATTGAGTGGGGTTAATCTCATAGCCTATGTCATCCTCCCATTGTTTTTTGATTGTGTCTAGGGGGTTTGTGGGATTTTGGAGTAGTATTTTGTATATTGAGGATACCATCCCTTTACCGTGTCCCTTTGTTGTTAGGAGGAGGTTTTCGAAGGTTGTCAGGGGCCTAGTTGCTGCTGATTTTACTGCTGGATTGTTTAAGAGGGCATGTAATTGGTGGTGTGCTAACCAGGGCATTTGGGTGTCTTCTAGTTTGTCTTGTATTTCTTGTGTTGACAAAGTTTTGTTATTCTTATAAAAGTCTATTAGGCAATATAAGTCTTTGGTTTGCCAGGTTTTTATCTGGAGGTTTTGTGCTGCATGGTGGAATAATGGGTGGTACGCCAGGGGAATTAGTAGGGATGAGGTTGGGGATAGCTTGCCTATTTCTGTTTTCCATGCTTTGAGCATGGTCTGTGTGTACCTGTTAAGTGTTGTGTGAATTTTCCTTAGTTTGTTTGGGAGGAGCGGGTATGCTGTGGTGCAGGTATTTTCAATTGTGTCCCTCTCTAGGTGTATCCATTGTTTTGTCTCACCTTCTAGTATATATGGGATTATATAGTTGGCAATGTAATATGCTTCTATGTTGGGGATTCCCCATCCTCCTTCTGAGGTGGTGAGGTCACGCACAACCCTGCTGAGAGGCAAAAGAGGAGCTGATCTAAGGGCTCGTCCAGAATTCCACTTGTCCTGCTGCTTTCCCCCAGGAAAACCCATTCTTTATTGTTGTATCAGAGTAAATGTCAGTCAGGTTTTCTGTGGATTGACGTTGGATTGAACTGAGCACTAAAGAGCACGTTCTGCAGAAAGTGGCAGGGCAAACAGAAAAGTGTGAGCAAGTCCTTAGAGTCCCTCTTTTTTAAATGGCAGGTTATCCAAAGAGCCTTGTGGCTTTTTGTGTCAGGGATGGGGAACGACAAAAGGGGGAGGCTCTAGTGTGCTGGTCCTGCTTGTTGGTTTCCCATAGGCATCTGGCTGGCCACTGTGAGAACACGATGCTGGACTAGATGGGCCATTGGTTCTGATCCAGGAGACTCTTCATATGTTCTGTGGCCCTCCAAATGTTGTTGGACTCCAACTCCCATTAGCCCTGCTAGCATAGCCAGTGGTCAGGGATGATAGGAACTGTAGTTCAGCAACATCTTATAGAATCATAGCATCATGGAATTGTAGAGTTGGAAGAGAACCTGAGGATCATCTAGTCCAACCCCCTGTGATGCAGGAATATGCAGCTGTCCCGTACAGGGATCAAACCTGCAACCTTGGCATTATCAGCACCAACCAACTTCAGGCCACAGAACATTAGAAGAGCCTGCTGAATCAGACCCACAGCTCATCCAATACAGCATTCTGCTTTAAGTGAATTTTGAGCACACACAGAAAATCTGAAACTTCGTTCTGTCCCTAAAAAAAGCAGCAAACTATTGAGAAACAGGCAACTAACTACAGTAAATCATGATAGGAGTCAGTACATATGGCAAAATAAATTTTCTCAGGTTGTTGGTGGAGGTTTGCGTGTGCATTATATAGGGTTTACTGAAAACCTCTCTGTGCGAAAGCTAATTTAAAATGGACAAAATAAGCATGGAGAAAGAAATATGTCTTGTGGCTGTTTGTGAACTGAGACAGCTCCGTAGCTTGGTGGTTGTTATTTCATCTAGACAGAAGCAACACATATATTGCATATGGCATCTGAAAGTCCAGGATAAGAATAGATCTCTTGAGTTCAGTAAACGCGGTGAATCAAGTTTGTGGCTGTTGCCTGCCCTGTTTTATCATGCTTGCTTTTCTTGTCATAACCCTCACTTAAAGTAAAAATGGATAGCTTCCAATATGTGTGTCTCTATGTATCTAAACAGAAACAGAAAGGTTTAGTGAATGATTATTTATCTAATTAGCCAGCCGAGCCATTGATGTTCTGTTCTGCTTTTTCATCAATTGATTTTAGACCCCATAGTAAAAAAGCACCACCTTGAGTCCCACAAGGGAAAAGGATGGGATTTGAAATACTACTACTACTACTACTACTACTACTACTACTACTAATAATTTGCATGATATACTTATTGCCTACAATGTTATCAGTTTTTTGGAGGGGGGAAAAGCTTCAGTTTCCAAACTGTGTAAATGCTTAATGTGTTAAAATGCAGAACTACTAGAAATATTGTGGAAAACACCCCATAGTTTTGAATGTTTTAACTGTACAGTGGTACCTCAGGTTAAGAACTTAATTCATTCTGGAGGTCTGTTCTTAACCTGAAACTGTTCTTAACCTGAAGCACCACTTTAGCTAATGGGGCCTCCTGCTGCTGCCACACAATTTCTGTTCTCATCCTGAAGCAAAGTTCTTAACCCTAGGTACTATTTCTGGGTTAGCGGAGTCTGTAACCTGAAGCGACTGTAACCTTAAGCGTCTGTAACACAAGGTACCACTGTATTTTATGAATAATTTTAATGTTTTACTTTGTTTTATTTGCAAACTGCTTTGCAATGTGTTTCAGTAAAAGTCACAAAGACCAGTAAGTATTATTGCCATAAGTGTTTGTGGACTACAACCCAATTCATCAAATTCACAAAGCAAAAACTTAGTTGGTAGGCATATAAGTGAGAAATGGATAAGGTGAAAGTGGATTGGCAAAAATTAATGTTAGGGATAATTAGAGTTTGAACATATGTTAAATAGGCATACCTTTCACAGTAACAGATTGGTGATAATTTGCTGAGATGACTGTACCAACACTTGTAATGGCGCAGGGAATCATTCACAAGAAAGTCAAAGATATGTATGGTTAGCTAATTAATACATGTAGTGTATTAATTCGTCTCAATTTAACCCACATGTGAACTTCTTGATGAATTGCAACTGAGCAGTTTCACGCTGTCTTCTTCCTTTGAAGTTCCTTGGTTCCTGAATGGTCACCTTACAGAGTATTCTGGGATGTTGAAACGGATCCCCTCACTTTTTTCATGATATTGACATTTCTGATGCCAGATTTGTTTTCATTTAGTCTTCCGCATAGAGATGGACCTGTCATTTTTCAGTGTACTATATCATGGGTTTTTTAAAAAATAAAACCCCCAAACTTCTAGTAAGTAAATACTTAAAAAAGCAACAAACTAGCACACCAGGGAGAGAGGCTATAATCACCTTGCTATAGTATTCTTTATTTCCAGGGAGGATTTCTTTATACTGTTGTTTGTGTGTGTTCCTCATCAAAGCGAAGCTAGAAATGAAAGATAAGCAGGAGCTGGAGAAAAAATACACTTCAGCGTAAACAACAGATCTTAATTAGATGTACGTGCATATGCTTGTAGACACTGCAGATATGAAGCATGCGAAATACAGCAAAGAAAATACAAGCAAAAAATAGGTTCCTTAATTGTATATCGCTATCATGAGATCCCTTCCATGTAAAATATAGACTATCAATAAGAATTCCATTTGGCAAGTCTGAGAATAAATAAAGTCAGCTGCAAAAGGCCTGTTTTGTTAAAGTGTACCTCATCCTATCCATATGAGCCAACTCCCAGGGGCTGAGCCCCATCACAAAGTTAATGGGCACTGCCATTCAAATGGTGTGCATATGCCGCATCCTGTGATTGATTATGCAGGGCGGAGCTTACCTGCCCACCCCCTGCTGCCAGTTTTAATCAAATTGGCATTCCTGATCCCAGCAATTTGCTTAAATGATTATTCTTTGTGTATGGTCTCTGCAGGGACGCAGGTGGCACTGTGGGTTAAACCACAGAGCCTAGGACTTGCCGATCAGAAGGTCGGCGGTTCAAATCCCTGTGACGGGGTGAGCTCCCGTTGCTCGGTCCCTGCTCCTGCCGACCTAGCAGTTCGAAAGCATGTCAAAGTGCAAGTAGATAAATAGGTAAACGTTCCTCTGGCAGGAAGGTAAACGGCGTTTCCGTGCACTGCTCTGGTTCGCCAGAAGTGGCTTAGTCATGCTGGCCACATGACCTGGAAGTTGTACGCTGGCTCCCTTGGCCAATAAAGCGAGATGAGCGCGGCAACCCCAGAGTCGGTCACGACTGGACCTAATGGTCAGGGGTCCCTTTACCTTTATGGTCTCTGCAAAGTTACCTAGGATTTCCTAGGCAAAGGAATTGTTGGCTCGTATGGTGCTTTTGTACGAACTCCCACATTTCAAGCTGAAAAAAATAATAAAGTTAAGAGGAGAGAGCTCCTGACAGACATGTGGAACTCCACAGTAGTCCTAATAAGACAAGCCATTCATGTGTTTAAAATAGGAAGGAACACTGGAAGCTGTCTTATGCTGAGTCAAACCATTGGTCCATCAAGCTAAGTATTATCTACACAGACTGGCAATGGCTCTCCAGGGTTTAAGGGAGGGGTCCCTCCCAGGAGATGCTGGGGATGAAAGCTGAGACCTTCTGCATACAAAGCAGAAGCTGTGCTTCTGTATGTGGTTCTTCTCTGATTATTTGGTTTGGCTTTGGATGCACAAGCCTGTGGCCCCCCACCATCTGCATGTTCATTAAATGCACAGAGAGAAGTTTCAGACTATGGTTATGGTCAGGGCTTTTTTTCAGCTGGAACCCACCGGAACTCAGTTTTGGCACCTCTTAGGTGGGCGCCATTGCCATTATAAGAGAACAAGGGAGGGATTCATGGTGAGTTCTGGCGCCTCTTTTTCTAGAAACATGGCGCTGGTTATGGTTTCTTAGAAATATGGACCTTGGTGCTGCCCGCTATCACAAAGTTCCACAATGGTTGTGCCCTATCTCATATTTGTCTAGCGCTGTTGGTAAATAGCCCCTGGGTGCAATGAAAGCAGGAATGGTAGTGGCGTTGCTACTTCTCCCCTCTTTGAACATCATACTTATGTGGGATCCACCCATATTCTTAAAATATTTCTCAGTTTGGGGACAGATCACTTTTAAGAGCTCAAGCATATACAGTGGTACCTTGGTTCTCAATCCATTCCTGAAGTCCGTTCGACTTCTGAAATGTTAAAAAACCAAGGTGTGGCTTCAGATTGGTGCAGGTGCCCCGGAAACAATAGCCGACAGCCGCATCGGACGTTCGGCTTCCGAAAAACGTTCAAAAACCTGAAACACTTACTTCCAGGTTTTTGGCGTTCAGAAGCTGATTTGTTCATCAACTAAGCCATTCAAGAACCAAGGTTCCACTGTATCAGTATGGAAGCCAGGCTTAAATACAAGATGTGTTTGGCATTATTTATGTACTGATCATATTACTTAATATACTTTAAGTCCACCTTTCTGGACACATGCCTGTCTGCCTCTAAAAATGTATACCATTTTAAGTTTGTATACCATCCTTCATCCAAATGCTAACACAAAGTGTGGACTTTGAATGGTTAGGAAAATCTCCAGCAGAAGAACTGTTTTCAAACATGATATTCATCAAAGGGTTAGCATCTCAGCTTAAGGCCAAGACAATGTGTGGAGGACCTATCTATATTATAGAAAATGACCATGTTCTTCAGCAGGATTCTTTGATTTGAAAATGATAGCAACTGACAGCACTTCTCTGGAATGAGACTCAAATGATTTGGGGGTACTTTCAAAATGGCAGCACATCCACTACACTTTTAAAAGCCCAGTCCTAAGCGCTGTCAAGCTGTCTGTGTGAGCTCAGTAAATAAAGGGTCTTGTAAATTAGTTATATTACATCTTTCATCTGAGTAATCCCCAAAATTAAACCCCTAGCATGCAAACATTTACATATGTGATTAATGTTGCACAGTGGTAATCCCTAGGCTCAGGAACATTTTTTTATGTCAGCAAAATTAATCACAGCTGACATTTTAGCAGAAAGGAGGACCAAAGCTATCCTGCCCTATCTGAAGCTGCCAGTGACAAAAGCAAAGGAGGCACATAGCCAGGTGGCTGCGGGGAGGGGACAGAGGAATCAATTCAGCAATTGGGACAGAGGAGATCAATGAAGCAGTGTAGGCAGAAGCAATCAATTCACTTTTTCATTTCTGATGAGGGATGAGCAAAGGGATCCAAACAAGATAAAACATTGGCTTGGGCATTTACTTGAATCAAATCCATACTGAAATTCTTTATTTGGACAGTGGGCAAAGTCAATTAATGGTTTCATGTTGCATTCCTCCCCCCCCCCCCCGCAAGAAAACATTTAGTACTACTGGATGCACACATCAAAAGCCATCACAGATGCATGAGCTGGACACAAGCCAGGATCCGAGGATACTTTCCACAGAAATGTGATAGACTCTATTTGCCTGTATAGCTCGGACAGTGTTGTTGTTTTTTTTAATCAGGCATACCTCTAAGTGATAATCCAAACTAAATCTCATTCCATTCAATTTCTCTATTCACCACCCTCAAATAATATTTCCCAAACTCTTTATTTCTTTCTATTGTCACTACAGTGGTACCTCTGGTTATGAACACTTCAGGCTACAAGCTCTGCTAACCCGGAAGTTGCTGCTCCTGGTTGCGAACTTTGCCCCAGGATGCAAATGAAAATTGCACGCTGAAGGCACGTGCACAGCGGGAGGCCCCATTGGCGAAAGCGCGCCTCAGGATAAGAACAGACCTCCAGAACAAATTAAGTTCATAACCAGAGGTACCACTGTACTGAGAAACAGGAAAGTGGAACTGTTTTCTTATGTTTTGAAAGCTGCATGCTTGCAGACAACCACATACAAGCGTGCAAAGAGAGAGAGAACTATTTAGTTGCAACTCTAAAAAGAGAGTTGGCTTGCAGGGTGCTAAAGATTTAATTACTTTAACAAATTAAAGTAACCCTGCCTTTCCACAGTAAAAGTGATGTTCAAGATGATTTACATCAAAAGAACAATATATCATGAAAACAAATTACACAGCACATAAGGATCATCTAAAATGAGCTGCATTGAAGCCCACACTTGTTTATATAAAGATAAACCAATCAAATGTCTTAAGTAGGCAGCTGAAGCCAGACATTCCTGAGGAAGCCAGTTCTACAATCTGGGTGCAACCACTCTCTCTCGCATCACAACCAAATTCCACGGATATAGAGAAGGACCCTCCTCATTCTTCATCTTCTTCCAAATACTGGAAATACTGCTTGCATGGCAATATCCGCCCCCTCCCGCAGATGGAGTAAATAAAGACACATGGACACCAGAATTTAGGTTAATGGGCGAAAAATGGCCACAACTTTATTGATTACAGGTAAGAGCGGTATTGGCTTTAGGCATTGGCCCTATCAGACTAACCGGCATAGAACCGGGAAGGGTTAAGCACCAACAGGGGGAGCCCCCGAGATGCACATCCCTAGGCGCTCCCCGACGGGTTACTGCTCGGGAGCGCGCTTTAGGCCCTAGCCTCCATAGGTTTCGGACGAGGCGACGCCCCCCGGAGTCCTTTAACGAACTACCCTTCATCATTTGGGGGGGGTGATGGCATTCCTCCCCCCCAACTCAATTGCATAATAATACCCCTGCCAATGCCTAACCGCCCAAACCAAAAGTGTTGTGACGTTTTGCTACGAGGTAGGCGAAAAAACCAAGTGGCTTCCAAAATAATGCCAATTAGCCAAGTGGAAAAACTCCTACCAGGCCCCTTGCGGCGACCAGCCGAAGCCCATAGCAAAGTCCAAATGACAACCTAGAGGGTGGGTGGGTGGGAAAACGCTGCTGGCTGAAGAGAAGAAAGGGGCGAGCACGGGCTACCCCGACCTTAAATGAACTCTGCTAAGCCCACCCCCACCCCCAGCTGATTGGGTGGCACAGTAACTGATGAATAATAATAATCCCGGGATTCCCAAGTCCCGCGGGGCTGCAGCCAGCCCCGCGAGGATGCCGGAGGGGCGTGAGCCCGCAACCCCCCCTCCTTATGTCGGGAGTGGCTTTGTATGGGTCATAACTGTGCAACTGGTTCCATGTATCCACCAGGAGCTTGGTTCAGATATAATGCAAAACTATGGTTTGATTTAATGTCTGAACCAACCATATCCTAAAACCAAGGTTGTGGAGGTGTGTCTGTGTCCTTGAACTGTGATAATGCCTTTTTGCTTGCCAGATGTAGGGTGGAGAGATGGTGTGTGTAGAAACCTCTGACATTTGCAAGCTAGCACTAACCTACTGTAGAAAGAGACATCATATCCATTGCTCTGGTGAGTTTTGCCCCTCACCCTACTCACCACTGGCACATGTACCTGAAAGGTCCTCTATGAGGGATTGCCCCCTTATGCTGGAAAAGGTTCCCCACCCCTGCCATACACATAAACACACACACACACACGCACGCACACACACACACACACACACACACACATGCATTCACCCTACCAATGTTACATATGCCTTCAAGAACTTAGATTGTATTTCAATCTGCAAATATGAGACCCCATCCAGTTTTCCCATTTCTTTTCCTTCACAATTTTCCAGCTTCTCTAAGAATAGATCTGGTCAGATTATCTGCAACTGCACTCTTGTCAAAAGCTACTGAAACCTCCAGGAGATCTTTTCATGATGGTTCTTAGTCTCAGCACAATACGCCTCGGAGTCATTCCATGTCAACTGTGGCTCTGACTTACTAGAGGAGTTGAGCTGTGGTGCAGAGAGCCATTCAGATCCTGACAGGCTCAGGGACTGAAGGCACCCCTTCCAGAAAGAAATAGTATTGTTAAGAGGGTTTCATGTGTGGTTGGAGAGGAAGGGGGAAATATAGCACGGCTTTGTTTACACTGAGTGTTAGTTGCTCCCCTGACATACTCCTTGAACAAGAATAAAAAGAAAAGAATGTGAGTCTAGGAGAGGACGGTTCCCCCAAATACCTGGAGCAGAATCAAACAGAAATAGCAATACCCTCCCCAACGCCCTCCACCACATTGTTTTCTCTCATCCTGATCAGTGCTATTTTTGCAGCCTGGCCCCATCCATAAAGCTGCCTTTGATACTGGCATCCCTAGAGAACAGCTGCGCTCCACTGAACTGTGAGGATAGCTCCTGATTTAGCTGTGCAATTCTCAGTGAATCAACTTGCTAGCAGCGTTCTAGGGAATTTGCCTCGTATACCTTAAAATCCCAATTTATTTTAAACAACCCCTAGGGTTGCCTTAATTTAAAAATGCAGAAGGTTATTAATTTCTTTTCTTTCTTTTTTGGTTCTGCGCATATTGCATACAATCCACAGGCCCATTCTGCGCCTCTAATTGCACCCCAAACACACATGCACAGAGTGTGCAAGAACTTAGACATGCTATTGTATGGCCCCAAATCTGTGTAGCTGACATTACTGGGAATTGCTACAACACTATATTGAAATCCTGGACAAATTGTGGAAGAACAAAACACCCCAGGCTTTCAGCTTCTGTGTGGAAGTTATTTCAATGTCTCCAATATTTGTCATATTTTTTAATTCTTTCCTTTAGCAGTAATCTGAGCTTATTTTTTTAACGTGTGTGTGTACCTGTATGAATACACCAGAAAGGTTGTAGCTCAGTACCAGAGTACAGTGGTACCTTGGTTTATGAACCTAATCCATTCCATTAGTTCATTTTTAAACCAAAACCGTTCTTAAACCAAGGTGCGCTTTCCCTAATGAGGCCTCCTGCCGCCGGTGCCCTTCCACCGTTTGGATTCTGTTCTTAGACTGAGGTAAAGTTTTCAAACCAAGACACTATTTCCGGTTTTGCAGAGTTTGTAAACCAAATGGTTCTTCAACCGGACTGTTCTTAAGACGAGGTACCATTGTACATTCTTTATATGCAAAATGTCCCGGATTAAATATCCTGTAGTTCTAGGAAGGGCTAGGAAAAACACCTACCTGGAACCCCAGGGAGCCTCTATGGGTCAGTGCAAAGTAAACAACACTGAGCTAGGTGGACCAATGGTCTGACTCAGTATAAAGCATCTTCTGTTTTTAGCTGGAGATTCTCATACATGATATGCAGAGGCACTTTCAATTCAATTCTCAAACCTTTATTGGCATATATACAAGGCTCAGTACAATAAAATCACTCAGCAACATCTGCATCTAACACTTAAATTAATGTGGTATAACACTCATGAATCCTCACTGCGTGGTGCAGAAACTTCTAAAGCTGTGTACCTAGGAACTGTAGGATCTCACACAAAGGCCTTGCAGTGGAAAAGGAAAATAAGCAGGTGAGCAACCTACCATTCCACTCACACTCACCAGATGCAAAGGCAGTCTCTGTGAAGTACCTCTCATGTTTAGAAGTTTCTGACTGGTGTGGCTTCACAAT